CACCTGCACCAGAGCCAAAAGCATGAAGGAGGAAGTTGCATTAGTGCTGCTGCAGCAAGGTGTAGAAACATGGCAGAAAAGAGACCCATTTCTTTGCCAGGGTGCTTTTCACACTCATGGTGTTACAGTGCCGTTACGTACTTGCGATTGCAGTAGTACCCATGTGGCCAACAGCTCACACACAGCTTAGTCAATTAGAAGCTGTTTTATTTGGACAGAACACGTTAATATTGGCCAGGCCAGCATAAGGATAAGTCATCATCTTACTTGTGTGAAACTGACCACGGTAAGGAGATTATATGAGCTTGGCAACGCGATAAGTCTCTGTGGGCTGAATAATTTCAGAGCCTTGGGAAGACTGAAAGTGTTTATGCTGTTCTGAGTAGTGCAGAATGCAAAGATCTGCGAGCCAGAGCTGAGCATGCTACCTGCAGAACGAGGAGCAGAATAATCACATCCATGCAACGCTGTCTCATGGTTAATTACCCTGCTTGAAATTCACTGTAACCATTCGGAAGGAGGAAAAGCAACACACGTTGCAAGGAATGGAAAATAAAAAATATGAAACAAATATACTGACGAAGAGCAGAACATCCACTCTGTCCATTCAGCAGCAATTCTATCTGAAAACTCCTCTTGCACCCTTGTTACTTTACATGATTTATTCAACTTTGTGAACAGAATAAAAGAGTTCTATGGCAGGCACCAGGATATTATTTTAGAAAGCCACGCACAAATGGCAGAATCAGCATCAGTGATTTGTGACTACCTCTGAAGAAATTAGAAATAATTGCAACCTTTCATTACAAAACCTGTCATTTGGTATCTGAAAGCAATTTGGTGTAAAACTAATCTTGACGACAGAGTCATTGCCAAACCTAATAATTTGCTGCATAAACTTTAAACCATATAATTGCTCAAGGTGCATGCGAGAATCTGCAACATTAACTGTTACTGCATCAAAACCCAATCATATGGCCTTTAATTCAACCGAGACTGTAAGGATCAGGCCTACATTTGTTGGGTGTTTTTCCCTCTTTGAACATAATACAGGTTAATATAAATTTAAATTTCACATCAGTAATCCATCAGAGAAAGCTCTAACAGCATTTCCATTTTGCAGGCTTATTTTGGGCTACTCACAAGAAGCACACCAAATTCACAAGCATTGCTCTGACTGCATTTCAGGTTTTGGCAAACGCACACCAACTGCATTCAGTAAGGCATCAACTACAAAAAACCTAACTAGACAAAGTTTAAAATCCATTACTATTTATCACCAATCCCTTCAAAGCCGACAGGTTTTTCAACATGCAGAAGGCAGACAAGCAGACCAACCACCCGTGCCACAGCACACATACCAGCCGTGCCTGGTTTGTTCAGCCCTTCATTTCTCAGCAGCTGCCTAGTTAGAACAGCTTGCCGTAAGAAAGACCTACCTCTTTTATTTTCTTTTTCCTCTAGAAGAGTTCCTGCCTCATTTGCAACTAAATGAAACTTTTTTAAAATCCATTCTGTAAAGATTATTTTATATCATAAAATACCACAGGTCTGCCCCTGCACCAGTTTATTGCAAACTGCATGCATGTAGCACGTGCCACTACTGTCTGTCACAGAATTGATTTCAAAGCTCCCCTTGCAGCCTACTGTCATTATAAAATAACTATCATATGCATGAATTTGTAAGATGCGTATATGTGGGCACCCTTTTACCTTCATTTTGATTCAAGGATTTGGAGAGCAAGATAAAGAGGCAAGGAATTTAAGACGCTCCCACGACATGTGAAAATAAAGTTCAAGCTGCAGCACAGAGCAAAGCGTTATTGGAAGGGAGAAAAGAATTCTGTCCTACCATGTGTTGAAAGCTGCCCAAATGGTGAGAGGTATTTCAGAAAGTTTATTTTAGGTAAAAGAAAGCTTTTCAAGGAAGTGGTAACATAGGTTTACACGTTACAAGAGGTTGCTTTCCAAAGAAAAGCAGAATCGTTTTCCTTCTGCGTGTCTCTCTAAGGAATTCTTTTCTAGGAAAAAGGCACAAGGAAATGCCACCCAATGGGCAGCACATCCACATGTGTGCGTGTGAATTTGAATTCCTAGGAAAACACAAAGCTGCAAACTTGTTTCCCTAAACCATAAAATCACTAAATGGAAAATAATAATAATAATAATAATAATAAAACCAAGAAAAAAACCCCTCTCCTTAAAAAAATTTCCCAGCATACATTTGCACACAAAAGCATAAAGATTCCTTACAACACTATTTATTCCTCTACTTTTCAAAAGGCCTTAGAAGATGAAATGTTAAAATTCATTTTCTCTGTTTTACCCTAAGTCAAGTAGCTGCATCTTAAGCACTAAATATGTGCTGTGAACTTAAGTGATCTCAGAAGCTAACCACATTTATTCCTCCTTTTCTCCACCTGTCTTGGGCACAGCTCCACAGCCAGGCACGCAAACCTATAGTGGAGCCTTTTGTACTGCACAATGCACTCCTCCTCCAGCCTTCAAGCTACTGGCTCTGAAAGAGACTGCCCTCTGAAAGGGTGCTAAGTAACTCACACACAGCGCGTGTAATCAGTTGAGTGCTTACAGGAGTGACACAGCCCGTTCCATTCTGAATGGATATGAGTCAGCCTCATGTCTAAATATGCTCAAACCTACGTCTGGTCGGTTGATCACCGTCATTTCTGCTTGCACCCTTTGCTGGGGATGAAGAGGAGGGGAGAGGAGTTACCATAGAAAATGTCTGCTTAGGTAGCAACGAAGCCACGAGTGATGAAATTCACAAAGTATTTCTGAAGGAAAAATTGGAAATAATAGGAAAATTAATTTGACTAACAGAGCTATAGTAACTACCATTAAGGACTAAGTCCCTGGAGGAAAAAGGAGTAATTTTTTACATACTGAAGGTATCTCTAGTTTCAACTAACAGATGGAAGGGATATAATTTCTCTTCAGCATTTCCAGTGCAAGCAACCTGTGCACACAGCCAGGCACCCACATCACTGCAAAATCATCCCAGCTAGTCCAAACAAGTTTTTTTATTGATCTAAAGCACTGAATGCTTGAGCCTGCGTGGAGAAACAACAAGGGGAAAAATCTACGTACGGCAAAAACAAATTCATTTGTTTCAGTATTTGTTAAAGCTCATCAAAAGTCACTTCAATAAATTTCATGTGAAAGTGGAAGGCTTCAACCATTTTCCCCTTTATCAAATGGTCCAAGTATTCCAAGGTACAAATGGTGGAAGCAATAAAAATTACCAAAAAGCTCCAGTATATAATTCAGGTTTATCTCATTAAAGCTATACAAAGAAATTATTTTACCCCCTTAAAACAGCGTTGTGAATGTAATAGGCTCGGTGAGGAAGGTCTGGGTTATGGGAGTAGTAATAAGCTAGTGCTTCTCTATGAGAAAATAAGAATCACAGACTCATTTGAGTTGGAAGAGACCTTTAAAGGTCATCTAGCCCAGGTCTGCTGCAATGAACAAGGAGACCTACAGCTCAACCAGGTGCTCAGAGCCCCGTCCAGCCTGACCTGGAATGTCTCCAGGGACGGGGCTCCCACTTACTGCTTGTGGTGGTGATGGATCACTATTTGTGGCTTCACTGTGATTACAGATCAAATGCACATGACATCGTCACCAAGTATTGAAGAGATAAGCTTAAAAACCCAAGGACATTAGAATAAAAATTAGTCATCCTCCTGTGCAATCCAGAACATATTACATATCAAAGATACATCAGAAAGTTTGGCTTCTATTCATCTTTATGGCTAGGAGAAGAGATTCTTGAAAACCCATCTGTAACTTGTGCCAGATGAAGCTAAATAAATCCACAGCCCTTGGGAGGTAAAGCAGTTAAAGCACACTAACTGGCCTCCGAGGAACTTTTTGACTCCCTTTCTGAATTGTGGAGAGACGGCACCGCTTGCACACGCAATGAAACAACCTCTTTCCCACCATTTAAAACGCTGCAAGTTTGCAGCAAAACAGCTGATATCACACGGCACGTAATCAGAAATGGAAGATATCTGACAGAATGATCAGCACGACCTTCTGCTATCATTACATTACTGTTTGCATTTACACAACTGCTTTACTTGCACAGCTCTAATCTTGTCCTCTTGCAGATGAATGGCTCATCTTTTTTACTGACAGACATTGGTTTCCACCACCTTCACTTAGTGCCACACACATCGTGTTTTGTTTTCTGTCACTCAATTGCAATTTTTGAGTATCGTTCCCTTCCTAAAATAACACTTTATTGCACTCCATCCTAAAACTAAGCTTCTGTTGTTTTTACAAATATGGTGTTGTATCCAACTCTGTATACAGCCAATGACAGCTTAATAATTCCTTTTCTGAAACGAAATCCTTTATTTAACCATATTTTAAAATTTCATCTTACACGCATTTTGCAATTACACATAAAATCAAAAAGAATCCTTACAGGGAAAGGCAGTAAAATCCAGACGGAATTTTCCCATTTCTTTACAACTTGGCAAAGATTAGCAATCAACTTCCAGATTTAATTAGATTTTCCCTGTCCCTTCGTGTGGAATTTAAGCATGCTGTTTGTGTTAAATCGGTATCAGTGGACTCTGGCTCTCTAGACTCCAGAGCAGGATGACTATTTGCTAGCGCATGTAACAACAGCTTGATTTTAAGCAAAGCTCCCCTTCATGCTCCTGAAGATTAAAAATGGTTAACAGTTTTTGGATGGTCAATCACAGTAAGATGAATTTTACTTTAGTCAGGACTGGCATGTGTGCACAGTGCAGTTCAGTGTACGAAATCTAAGTTCTTTTTCACCCTAAACAATGTAACTACTCCACTAACTCTTGTCACTGTGTAAATCTTTTCATTTCATTGTATAATTTTTTCTTTTCATCGCATAAACTTTGAAATATCACATCAAATATTTCTTCACTGTTACTAATCATGGAGAACATAAATTCAGGGAAGGATTGTGCAAAGGCATGACAAAATGGAGATACCTGCAAAGATGAAGGTGGTCCCCTGTATTCCAAAATTGCAGCAGTTCCTTCTCTGCAATGGTTCTGTTTCACAGATGAACTTCAGTTGCCAGTGCTAGTAGAAAAAGGCTTCAAAGTTTTTACAGAACTTCACAACCTAAAAAAAAAAAAAAAGGGAGAAGAAAACACATTTCTCTTGCATCTGGGTAAGATTATGTTTGCATCAATTAAGATTCCGGTGGAAAAAAAGCACACAGAAACCAAAAGTTCAGTTAGTAAAAGCAGCCTCAAATTATCTGTTATACAAATATTGAAGTTACTCAACCTAAACTCCTGGCAGTCCACTATAATTGCTTCTTTTATATCTGGCATTGCGCTCCAACTGCTGAATTCCTTAGCTTCCAAGAGCAGACTTACAGAGATGCTGTGCTGTTTGATTTGGCACTATTCATAGGCCTTGGCAGATGATCAAATAGAGGGCACAGAAGAGCAGGAAAAGCCTTAAGAAACTGTCTGGGCTGCTGTCGTTACTGCCTCCATAGAGAGAAAACTTACTGGTAAGCACAAAGTAGCTGTTTGCATTCCTCTAGTTTTAATTTATACTGTTTCTATTATCTATCTGGACAAAAGAAAGATCAGCATTTCTTCAACAGGGAGCAACTGGCGTCTAGCTTAAAGTTGCATCTGTTCACAACTGGTAGAAAATTTATTTTTTCCTTTTTGCAATATTCTGGAATACATGACTCACTAATGTTACGTAGTAACTGAAAACTCAAGGCAAAATTGTTACCAAAAAGGCAGCAGGAAGGAAAGTGGACTTCAAAACAAAACAAAAACAACAAAGCAATTTTTGAAACGCATAAAAAGATTAAAACTGCAAATTTAAAACATTACTGCTATAAATATCCAAGGGACATAAAACTGCATTTCTGCATCAGCCGTAGCTACAGAGCAGCATTCTGAACTTCAAGAGGAGCCAGTAACAACTTGAAGAGTCCTGAAAAGCCGCCAAGAAATCTCTGCTGACAGAGAATACCTGGGGGCTGGGGGAGGATGTCCAAGTAAACCAGAGGCAGGAGCAAACAATCCCACGAACCTCCCCTGTGACTGGAAATTCACGGAAAAGCAGTGCTTGTAAACAGGAATCACCAAATACTGATGCAATCACAGAGGTTTTCCCACACAGCTTTCCGTCCCCCTAAGCTCAGGCTCTCTGGTGACAGCAGAGCCACTTGCCCGCAGCCTGGCTCTCCTGTGCCTTGCAGCACTGAGCCAAGTCGCAGCCACATCTGCCCCTCCACTGCCAACAGGAACTCTGCCGAACTTGCACGGCCTTAAGATGCCTCCACTGCTGCTGAGCAGAGATCCAGCAGGAGCTGGGAGGAGAAGGAAGGCTGGAGACTCCAAGGGAACGAACGCCTCAAGCGCTTTAACTCCTATTCAGATTTCTGCTTGGAGCGCTGCCAGGTTACCAGGGAAGCAAGTCACACAGAGCAGCTGCTGCCCAGTTATGATCTCCTCTCTCCTCAGCCTTCTTCCACGTGCCACCAGATCCGAGGCCACAAGCTGGGGCTCCTTAAGGCCCCCACAGCACAATGAGTTACAGCTCTTTGCTTGGCGACAGCTTTGGCTGTGTTTCCCCTCCACTCTGCACTGCAATTGGAAAAAAACACATTGTGCCTGGGACTGCTGGGTGATGCTGTGTGCTGCCCTTAGGGGAACAGGCAGGGGGGCTGAAACCCCAAATGAGCTTTTTGGGTTGTGCAAAATACGTGCAGGTTCTGTGAGCTCAATGTTTATCCCCCTCTCACTCCCCCCTCCCCAGGGTCCAACCATAGAGCTCAGCATCAGCTTTGGGCACGTGGAATTACACTTCTCACAGAGCCATCTCACCGTCCTCATTGTGCAGGATTTGCAGACTACTTCCCCCTTCCTCCCCATGTGCCACCCTTGTCGTGTCCTGTTTGGGGACAGACCTTCTACCTTAGCCAGCACAAACACACAAACGGAGCATCTTCATCTCTGTGTGCCGTGACTGTAATGGTGTTTCTGGTTAACTGTGTGATCAGATTTGCCACATTACACAAACTGGAGTGAAACTTCCTCAAGTCAGATGCTTTGCCTCATGGCCCTTCTAAATTAGAAGTGCAAGCCTGAAGGTTCTACTGCTAAAAACTCGGCTGCATGTGTACCTGTACAGGTGCATTAAAGTTCTAACAACTCTATTATTATTATCATTTATTTATTTATTTATTTTAAAGTGCAGGAATGTTTTAATATACTGCTTTGATGGATATTCACGTGACAGTTCAAATAAAGAATCTATTTGCAGTATGCAGCTTTTTACTTATTTCCTTCAGCCTCTCAGAGTACACTTAGTGGTTTCACTGCTCTCAAATAAAATGACCAAAGTGAGCAGCATCCAGGAGCAGTGTATGTCTCTACACTCACTGTGGACAGAAAAAAAAATCATTTAGTGGCCAAATTCCAGTTACAGTTATGGTCCCTTAACGAAATTACACCTTAATGAAATTGACCTACTTATACATTAAGACTGCTGTACCTAAAATATAACACAGATGGAAACATATTCTTTGTCATTTTATCTGCAATTTGTGATATTGATTTTAACCTCAGATCAGACCTTGATCTAACTAAGTGCACAGTGAATCCAAAAGTGCTGACCTCCAGACCAAGCAGTTCACCACTATGAGCACCAGCAGAGCGCTGTATGAGGGATGCAATCCCATCTCAGTTCACATTGGTTCAAAGAGTAACTCTGCAGCATGCAACCTGCTTGGCCTGAGAGCTGCCCAAGAGTGCTCGGTAATACAGAGCAATGCCTCCTCCTTCTCTAGATCCAGGGGGTACTGTGAAATCAAAAATTAGGGGGAAAAAAACGACAGAAGTTGGGCTGCTAGTTTGCAAACTAACTAACAAACAAATCAAACACCTTTATAGCAATGGAAGCTATGAGGCTAGAGTATCTTCATTAAAACATACTGAAGCACTCCACCTCCTAATCACAAGGTCCTCTTGCTCTGATTTAGACACCCTTGACAGATTTATTCATTGCACCGCGTAAGCATAGGAAGTCTCGTAGATTTCTAATATTCTAAAATTTTCTCTGTACAAATTCACTTATACTAAGTAAATCCTAGCCCTCTGATGGGTATTAAGGTACCTAGTAAACCCAGAAGGAAACAGGCACCTAAATGCTCCAGCTAACTGAAGGTAACGCTGTCTCACTGCCCCAAAGAAGGTCTGGGAGAAGGAAGCACTGAAAAGACTGCATTTCCAAACGAGACAAGACCACCTAAATAATGGCAATGAGCCTCAGGGACCTGTGGAACATGGGCACAGGTAAGCCCAGGCACTGTTATGGGCTTGCTAGTTGTAGTGAAAGCCATTTTTTAAAGTAACTTACTGCCAGCAACAGGATTTTATAAAAAGCATCTGCGATTCCAGCTCTCCTATAGGCAGAGGAGGCAGATTCTTTAATTCTCCTTTATGCCTTGAAGAAGATTTCCATGAGGAACTACTAGAGTTTCTGTGGCTGAAATATCCCCCCTTTATAGAGTTGACTCCACATTTAAACTGTGGAGCAAATGAAACGCAGTGGGCCTTTTTAATCCAAGAGAGCCCCTCTACGTGACTAGAAAGAAGACTGTCTTCAGATTTATCTTCTCTTCAGTCTCATAGGCACTTCTAAACTTCGCCCGTCTTCCTTCTTGCAGAAGCGAAGAAGGAAACAGGTCTCATTCTCCGTGCATTACTTTACATGAAATAGTTGAAATAGCAGATAGGAAGAACAACAGGAAGCAGAGCCAAGTGCTCTGCAGTACTATTTACCTTCACTTTTAAAGAACAGTTAAAAAAAGAAAAGAAAAAAAAAAAAGCCCCTAACATCATCAATATGACGTATGACACAACTGATTTACTGGAACAGAAATCTGCAAGGAACCACGATTCTGTTTTCCAAACCACCAGTAGTTCCTGTAAGAAAGCAGGACACCACAACTGCAACAAATGTAACAGCATTACCCAAGCAGTCAAGGAATGGAGAGGACACATTTATACAGAAGAGCTACAATTAATTCACTGGATGTCCCTGGACTTTACTGAACAGCAGTAAACTTTGCAGAAACTTTCAAAATGTCACACATGAAAGAGCATGCTCATTTTTAACTTAGCATATGACCTTCAACCACTCATTTTCCCTTTGGCCTATCACTTAGGGGTTTTGTTTACCTGTGCATTACAGTGTTGCATGGAATTAACATGGGTTAAGAGAGTTGAGGTGCTGGAAGGAGCTCGGTGCTCATTACAGATGTGTGTGCTTGGCTTTGTGTGTCTGATCTCAGGATAGAGTGCTAGAAAAAGAAACTGCTTTCTATTTCCCACTACAGAATGCCAACAGTGCAAAATGCTAATGTTTTTGAGATAAGATTTTAGAATAAAAATTTAACGTTTCTATTCAGTAAATGATTTTTAAAAGCTGAAGTTAGAGAATGCTACATAAAAGAAAAGGGGAAAAAAGGAAAAGATGCACATTCCATGGCAAGAAATGACAACTGTCAGCCATTTTCACAGTTCTGAAGCAGTTTATTTCCTAATAATTCCTAATAATTCATTTTTTGACAGGACGGCACAGCATTTCTTGGGCCATACTCCCTTAAGACAAGCACAACTTTTTTAGCAGAGAATTCTAACCTCTAATAAGACTCGTTCCCTAAATATGGCAAAGGAAAATATAGCACAGAAAATCAAAGGAGATAGCCTAACGAGCAAAACACAAAGCACTCCAAACAGATGACAAAGATGAAGATTTTAGATCCGCATCAAATATATGAGCAATTCACACATGATTTCTACAAAAAGCAGCCACTACTGTATCTCCACCAGCACACAGAACCAAAAGAGCTTTGTCCCCAGTTTTAATGGAAATATTTACAGATGAGAAAGCTCCAGAAGGAAAGCCTATGTTTAGACAGAAACCAAGAAAAAAAATAAAGAACATTTCTTGCACAGTAGCCATGCCACTGTGTCTGTGCTTCAGAAAGTCTCCTGCTCGCAGCTCCAGAACACAAGTGCTTACCACTTTCCCCCACAGTCTCCTCTGGAAAGCCCACAGCTACAGGGAAAGCAACAAAGCCT